TTGATATGCTTAGACAATAAATTGAGATTGAAAAATGTGAAGTATATGCTAAATTGCCTAGATTTCAAGTCAAGTTTAAATTGTGATTATTGTGCCGAATCATGAGAATTCCCCTCTATGCTTGTAACTTGAATTTCTCTTGTGTATGCCCATTATCTTAAAATTGTAAGTTTGTTGTTAAAAGTGAAGGTGATGTGGAATGTGAGTTGTGAAATGCGGCCTAGTGCCAAGAATGATGTGATAAGTTGTGGCCCCAAGTGCCTATGAAATGATATATATGAAACGAAATGATTAATGAGAAGGGAACAACGCCTTGGCAAGGCGGCCTAGCCGATCGGACCGAGATCGGACTCCGCTCAAGATAGTGGTGGTCTTGTGAATGAATTTCGAAAAAAGAGAAAATGAGATTTTGATTAAAGCGTATGCCTCAAATGAGGCAACCTAGCCGATCGGGTCGAGATCGGACTACGCTCAAATAGCGGTGGTATTGTCAGCAATGATGAATAATGTGAAATGCCCCAAACTAAAAAAACTACGGAAAATGATGTGAAAGTTGTATGATTCCTTTATTTTGATAATGTGGTGATCGTTTGAAGCTTTTGAGTTATACTTGTGATTTCTTATTCTTGTATGAAAGTTCTTTCTAACTAGATGGTGTTTAGTTATACATACTAGTGCTATTCGATGGCACAAACGTCCCTTTTGCCGGGGGCGTTACGTCATTAAATGGATATAGGTGTTTCTATAGCAGGCAGTGTTAGTTGCAGCTAGTGCCGCATCATACTTTCAGCTGACTTGGTAAGCCCCACTTCGTTTCGGGGTCCTGTCTCATCTGTTTATCATGTACTTTATATTTGAGGTATAACCGGAGCCTTGTTACCGGCATTTCCATATTACATTACTCTTCAGTTGTGTTTAGAGACTCCGTAGACAGGTCGTGGGTAGTGTCGGGTTTTGGAATTAAAGTAGAAATATTGATGTTTGGCAAAGATTGATAAAATTGGTAATATTTTGATAATTGTGATTTAAGTTGCTAATGGAAATGAAATGGAAGTTGTTAATGAAATATTTACTAAGTATGATTACTGGAGTCCATCTCCTATTTATTCGTGAATTAGTTTGGGTAGAATGGAACCTAACAGGCTTGCTCAGTCGGGTTTACTCGGTTGAGCGTCGGTCGTGCTCCTCGGTTTTTGGGGCGTGACAATCCCTCTTCAAAATATCCTGCTCTCGTTCTCCAAAACTCAAAAATTGTGAATTAAGCTAAATTCCGAAATTTAGAAATAAAATACCCCTACCACCAATTTACACATCGCGATTGTTACCTTCATCTCATGCAATCGCGAAGCACTGAGCTCCACCGCCTGAAGTCCTTCTACACGAACATGATAACACACACGTGATCGCGAAGGCCAATTGGCCAGCCTTCTATGCAATTGCAAGATCTCCCGCACGATCGTGATTAAATCCCCTCCAAAGCTACGTGATCATGAAGAGAAACTCTCCCAGACCAACTCCCCTTCTATGTGATCGCCGCACAAGCTACGCAATCGCAATTCACTACCTCGCACCAGAAAATCAGCAATCTTAACTTGACTCAAAATAATCTGAAACCACCTCCAAAACTCACCTGAGACGCCTAAGACCCCGTCTAATCATCCTAACAAGTCCGTATATCTTATACGAACTTGACCAAAGGCTCAAAATACTAAAAACAATATCATAACCAAGAATCGTGCATCAAACCAAAAACTTCAAACTTTCTTAAATTCAAATTTTCAACTTTCGACTAGAAGAATCGAATCAACCACCGCCGCTCGAGGCTCGAACATGCAAGTTCAAAATTATCATACGAATCTACTAGAACCTTCAAATTACCAATTTGGGATCGTTTACTCATAGTGTTGACTTTGGTCAACTCTTCCAACATTAAGCCTCAACTTAGGAACTAAGTGTTCCAAATTATTTTTGAACCTCCCGAAAATCAAACCATTCATCCCCACATGTCATAAAGCATCATACCGACCTACGGGAAGCATCAAATAGGAAAATTGGGTACTAGAAACAACCGGTCGGATCGTTAAATTTTGTAATTTGTTTTTTGCTTGAGGCATTTTCTCTGACACCTTTCCTAGAAGGTGGTGAAAGAATAAGGTGCTCTTTAGGTGTATTCAAGTTTTGTTTGTTATGATAATATTTATCATAGTTTATTGCTACAACAACTACTACAAAAAAACAAAAAAAAAAAAAAAAAAAAAAAAAAAAAAAGAGAGAAAGAAGATCGATCTCTAAAAAAGCTTTTAACTTTGACATGGATCAAAAGTAATCATTAAGAACCATAATTTCCTATGGGCTATGGTATGTTTGAAGCACTTTTTCTCGACAATTATATGCCTTCTTTGTTATTGTCAGCTGCATTAGAGTTCCATGTTTCCATGCTTTGACATTTTGAGAATCTCTTCTTAAATAACTTTTGTATACTTAGATATGTCTTTTATATAACCAAACAGTAGAATATATATGTACTTAAAAATTATTTATTTGTATATATACCAAACAGTAGAATATATATGTACTTAAAAATTATTTATTTGTTTTTGATTAAATTTATAATCATATATATATATATATATATATATATATATATATATATATATATATATATATATATATATATATATAGATATATATATATATATATGTGCGCGCGCGCGTGTGTTTTGTTTAAGAGTTTCATATAACTGCATTATACAAATAGATTATAGGCCGTACAAATCTTGAGGTCCCAAGTTAAGAAATTAAAGTATATATAGATGGTTTCAAAGTTGATTAGTTTGGGTCAATACCTCTTTTGAAACATATTTACAAAGTATATGTTCAGAAATTCTTCACATAAATTGTTACATTCTTTTGTCAAATTAGTTTTTATCCAATTCCTTATGTAATTTATTTTTCTACAGGCTGGTGATGGCGACAAGAACTCTTCATCTTTTTTGCTTGTTTGTTTGTTCTTTGGCCATCATCAAATCTGAATGTTCAAAAGACTTAGGTTCTTACAATGTGACGAAGACAATCCTTAAGAATGCTGTGTCAAAAGGAGCAGGTTAAGTACAAATCAAAATCTAAATTAGGAAATCATGTACGTACTAGAAATTTGAAGAGAGTTTTTGCCTTATTTATTGGCAGTATGTTTGGATGGATCACCTCCAGCATACCATTTTGAACCTGGATTTGGCGGAGGAGTTGGAAATTGGATTGTACAACTTTCGGTAGGTCATTTGTAATATAGGTTGATTTTACCTTTTAGCTAGAATTTGCTGGAATATTTGTTTCTTTTAAATCTTTGAGAACTTTCAATTTGTAACTTTTCGTCGCTTTTTTCTCGACGTTGTGTTTGTTGAGGTTCGCCTTGATTTTCTTGTTATATTTGTATTTTATTTTTGCATGAGTGAAGGGCAAAATATTTTCATAATTGATTTTTTGTTTTCCTAAAAAGAATATGTAAATCACTTCCTTAATTGACTAATTCTTATGTTGATATTTTTATGTTTTTTTTTTTTTTTTTTTTTTTTTTTGGTATTAGTAAATTGCTCATATGTAGGTCCCAAATCATATTAAAATATGATATCTCATTTACAAGGTTGTTTTCCGTCTAACACCTGATTATGTCATCTGAATACTGATTTTTAGAGACTTCTTTAAATCTTGAATTTTTGCAATGTCCGTAGGGAGGAGCATGGTGCACAAACGTCAAAGAATGCCAGTATCGTATTTGGGACAAGAACGTGGGTTCTACAAATTTTACGGATTCATGGACATTTCAAGGAATTTATAGCGAGAATCCGACAACAAATCCAGGTTCTCGTGGATTTTATTATACAATCTAACATCTCCTTCTGAATTTCCAAAGAATAATTTGTTGGGTTTTTAAGGTATTTAATTAATATATTAAATACTTAAAAGAGGGTGAATGGGAAATGGAGGGAAATGAAATTTTTGAGTGAAATTTTAAGTTCCCCCTCCCTTGGCAAATGGGCATTGTCCCATATTGGAAGAGGAAGAGGTTTTTTATGGGTATATAAGCAATTGCTCTTCTTCTAGCTCTTAAAGAGTTGAGAAGAAGGCAAGCCTCGCGCCGTCGTCGTCGTCGCTCGCTCGGCTCATAGTAAAATATTAACAGAAATGTTATTAAATATTTGTTTTAATAACAAAATATTAATATTAAATCCAATCCGTTTTTCTGTTTTGGTAACAGAAAAGTAACTACCCTCTTCAATTTTCCCTCTTTATTATTGAGTAAATGGCCATTTATGTTGTGGGCGTTTTGCATAAACAGCCATTCTGAAGAGACCCAACTTTGGCTATAAATACAACACTATTCTGCTCAGAATTTTAACTACAATTTTCTGAGTTTCCTCTCCTTCTTCTGCATACTTTTAGCATCAAAACAAAGCAAAAAGTAAGTGTGATTTGCTACCGAACTTTGTGTTCGCTGAAACACTGGGGTTTGAAGTACCACTACACCAGTGTGTAATTCGTTCTATCCTGGGAGGAAATAATCCATAACCTTGGGTACTAGGAGGGGATTAAATTCCTTAAGGAAACACTGTGAATTCAGTGGGCTCGAATTGGTTTATGTCATTTCTGTTTATATTCATTACTGTTTATATTCATTTATATTTCCAGAATTTATTTTACAAATACAGTGTAATAACATAATTGTTTGTTGAAATGGAAGTTCCATTTGAAGAAAGCAGACATAATTCTTCTATGTAAACTATGCAGATTTCTACAATTGGAACAAAGTGTTTGTTAGATACTGTGATGGTGGAGCGTTCACCGGAGATGTTGAATATGTTGATCATGTAATTCTCTTTTCAAGTTATAGTTTCGAATTCCAATTTTAGAATGTTTATCCTTAAATTTTGAATATTTTTCTTAAATTCAAGAATATTGTGCGAACATGTAACTTCAATATCATTTTACGTTAATTTGTTTAGGTTACTAATCTTCACTTCAGAGGCGCGAGGATTTTTGAAGCAGTAATGGAGGATTTGTTGGCAAAAGGATTAAAGAATGCCAAAAATGTGTGTAAATTCTATGTTACACGTATATTTTGTTTTTTGCTGATTATTTTTTTATATTTTTGGTTTGGTATCTGATATTCTAATTGGGATTCGACTATTTTTTATTTGAGTCGAAAAGTCACATATTGGGGGATAAAGCGCTCTCTGATAAAGGCGTATCTACGCCCAGGGCTCGAACCCAAGATATTTTGTTAAGGAGTATTATCACTCTACCACAACTCTCGTTTGTTGCTGAAAATTTTCATTCATGTTTGCAAGCTATTCTTGCCGGAAGTTCAGCCGGAGGATATCCAACAATGCTATACTGTGATCACTTCCGCAGTTTATTGCCAAATACTCCTAGAGTGAAATGCTTAGTCGACTCTGGTTACTTTATCCATGTGTAAGATTTATTAACATGATCGTTTAGTATAAAATCATTTTATAAGGTTTGACTGCAATTTAACTTTTGAACTCTCTTTTTAATAGGAAGAACCCTATGCAAGCAAGTGGCTTCGAGAAAATTTATAACTCACTTCTAACTTTACATGTAAATTCTCTTTTCCCTTCTTGTCCCCCTCTCTTTATTTTTCCATTAGTTCAATATAAGTTGCCAAATTTCATATTATACTGCGGTGTTTAATTGTGACACGAATAATTGAAAGAAACAAGGCTCTTGGCATATACTTAAAAGAACCCTTAGATCTAGTAGTCTAAAATATGTCATGATATTTCTGTGGCAACAAGATCGTGTCAAATTTAAAGAGCTTTCGCATATGAAGTTATGTTTTTTTTTTTCGGAATAAATTAAAAACGAAAGAGTGTCATATTAAATGTTGCAGGGATCTACAAAAGCGCTACCCAAATCATGCACTTCAAAAATGAATCCACTATTGGTACATTACCTGCTCCCTTGATTCAATTATTATTTGAATCTTTTGCCATTTGAAATAGTAAAAGACAAACAAAAATCCAATTACTGCAGTGCTTCTTCCCAGAAAACATGCAACAACATATCAAGACACCACTTTTCATTGCGATGTCAGCATTTGATTATTATCAGGTAATTAAATGTTTGTCAATAATTATGCTTTGTTTATGACGTCAAAAATGACAAACAACAAAAAACTTGGAGTACTTTAAAAAAAAAAAGTGTTTTTGAATTTTTTTTATTTTTATATCAGGTTGTGCGAAAATTAAACATCTTTAGATAGAATTCTTTCTTATGGAAGATTTGATAAGTTGAAGAACTATTTACCTGAACACCCTCATTCCACTTCTTCATAAAACTAATTACTATTTTTTAGTTAAAAAAGTAATTCTATTTTTAAAAAACTTACACTAAGATACTTTTGGAAAGATTTCGAGAAAATTTTCATAGACAAACTCCACCTAAGTATCATAGTCTAGTGGTATATTATTTAGATAATTCTTTTTACACTTACTATATATTTTCTAAATCAATTGTTGCAGATCAAAACTACTATAGACCCTAATGCAGACCGATGCGTTGAAAACAGGACATGCACTGAGTGTCAAAACAAAGCCTTCAGAGGTAATTAGTACAAATTAAACGAGCTAAACAAACCAAAAAAAAAAAAAAAAAAAAAAAAAAAGAATGACCTAAACAATGATAGCATAATTAGTTATATTATTCAATGATGCCAATAATTAAGTAGGGTGTTTTACACAAATAGCCAGATGGATTGATGGTTTATTATTTCTAGCCGGTATATATAGATTATACATTGATATATATAGCTATACACATATTATATGCGAATTACATATATATTATACATTCGCTGACTTTTTCTTTTTTAAAATTTAATTGGTTAGGTGACCGACTATTGAAGTTAATTCTTCGTGAAAAGAAAACCATTTGTCTTATTAGTTACATGTCTAATGCTTTTGGATTTGTCATCAGAATTTAGGTCGGAATTCTTAAGTGCTCTGCCCAAATCAAACAATCCTAAATTGAGAGGAGTTTTCATTGACTCAGTAATTCATCATTCAGCGCTATCATATAGGTGGACTCCTGAAAACGCCATTCTGATTAATAACCTGGTAAGAAATTATTTATTTATTTTAGTTTGATAATGCATATTTTAATTTCTTCTGTTTAATTTTACCACTTCATTAGGTTTATGTAGAAATATATCATTATCCTAATTAATGGGAACTTCCGATTTTTCAAGTCAGAGATATATTTTTCTTGTTATGGTTATTACTTCCTACGCGCACTTTTACTTGTTCATAAGTTTGCGCGCCCCTTCAGATATAATAGATGAAGTGCATATTTTACCATAGTAACCCATAATAATGATAGTATTTTGACAAGTCTTACGAAATGGTTTGTGAATGAGTAATTAATAATAAGGTAAAATAAGAAAAAAAATATGATCTTCTTTTGATTTGTTAAAATTGACAAGTAAAAGTAAAAATATATTTTTTAATGTAGTGAACAGTAAAAATTTACGGAGAGAGCAGTTGATTATATTGTTGTGGTGGAATAAGAAACTACTGAAAATAAAAATAAAAACAAAGAAACAATTCTATCATAACATCGATATCATTGGTGGAACAACCTTGGTCCACGAGGTGTTAGTTAATACCCTTTTGCTGGAATTTGTTTCATGTATATATATTATATGGTGAATTTTTTAAATTTTCTTGTGTCATTACTTCTTTATATTTTGACTTTTTACAGTGAAAATTTTAGTTCCATCACGGCTAAATATATGAAGTGTTTTATGCAGTCTGCACCGAAGGCATTTGCTGATTGGTACTTCGATCGAAAGTACTGGTATGTGATAGATAAGCATGACCTGCCAATCCCTACAGCAAAAGACCGCAGGACATAACCATAAGGAGGATAATCTTTATGACTTATATTTATTTCAAGAATTCAATGTGCAATTTCAGAATCCATTTATGTCAAAATTTGCTGACAACTTTTGATGTCTATGTAAATTGTTGCCAATATAATTGTTAACAAGAAGGATCACATCGACCAAAATAGTATCAAACTTCTTTGCTTATACCGTGTGAAAATTGACTTGTGAGTCTACTTTAAATTAATAGTGTTAGTATCAAAGTAGGTCGAGAATTTCACAAGATCGCTTAAATTAAAAATAATTTATGAAATATATATTATGTATACAATTCATGTAAAATATGTCTATTATCGTATATATCATTGTATGATCTATATATATCAGTTAAGAAATATAAAAGTTATGTATAATCATAGTATAATCTATACATATCGGCTAGGTGTATATATATATGTCCCACATCGGTGGGATTTCAGGTCCTTGGTCTCCTTCTATGTCTCGGGCAATCCTCACCTCACAAGTTAGCTTTTGGGGTGGGTTCAGTTAGGTCCAAGGTCCATTTATCATAGTATCAGAGCCAGGCCCATCCCAATTACTGTTATCGATGTTGGGGCTATTTGTTTTGAGATCAAACTCTCTCCGTTTTAGTTTAAGTGAACCTTTTCGCTTTTCGACATTCAAACAATGTAAACTTTTACCAACATTTTGAAATGCATATTTTATCATATTGAAATGAGAAAGATCGCAACTTATAGTACTTTTCGTATAGCTTTTAATCCAAATTTTGACTTCAAAATATTAAGTTAACCTAATCTAATTTAACTTAAAAAATTAGCCACTCTCAAAAAGCAAAAAAGTTCACGTCGACTTGAATGGGGCGAGTAGATTTTTGGGTTTTTATACTTTTAGTCCACGCTAGAAACTATTTACATCGGTAGCCGAAAAAGTTTATAAATTTTGTATATATACACACACAAAAAAATTATATAAATTTTATACACTTTTTCGGCTACCGAATTAAAGAGTTTCTAGCGTGGACTAAACGTATAAAAAGCCCAAATATCTACTCTATAATATATATATATATATATATTATTTTGAGGGCGGCTATGCAATGTCATTTTTCCTAATTTTTTTTGATGGGGTTGTCCAATATTAACTACTTGTTTACCTGTAAAATGGTACAGTTAAATTTACACGTAGTTTCTAGACAGGAGAATTAATTTGCTCCTGAAATAATAGGAGAATTGATTAAATATGCAATACTTAGCCTTGAGATGAAGATGAAATAGCAGAAACAGTAGTTCCGGGAGAAGGGCTTCCGGGCACAACATTAATGAAATCGAAGAGCAATAAGATAAAATTTTATAAAGCTTTGAATATATTATAGCGTAAGTTTGCCAGAAAATTCATGTCCTTTACAATGATAATAGAACTCACTGTTTATAGTTGCATTTAGGGAACAAGGTCCTAGGATCATGCCCCTCTTTAAAGTCAATTATGAGGTCCATTGAAGAATGTGTAAGGGCGGACATGAATGACAAATTCTTTATAACGTGCAGTGTACTAAATATTGTAGAATATTTCCCATAAATACTACCGGGTGGCAGGTATTTATTGGATCTTTATGAGCACTATTCTTTCCGGTGACAGATGGAATAGTTGTCTTTGGTTTTAGCTATCCTCTGCCTTCGGCTCCACGTGTCACTCCTTTACGCAATCATTTAACATATCATATTTTACCCTATACAGATAATCCCCCTGCTTTCCGGTGACATAACTTTGTATCGCCGGGAAGTTGGTAGAAAAATCCTTTTCGGCGGAAATTCCACTGACTCTCTCTGAAAAGTTTCTGACGTTGATTAGACGCACGTCTCTCCGCATTTAATGTCCCGAACACGCGTCATCCCATCATTCAGCATAACTTTTGCCGGCTATCGAGGTAATTATGGCCACGAGTTTAGCCACTAAACCTTTACTTATATGCATCAACTTTTTAAATTTTACACTTCATAATACTCTGAATTTTCTAAGACCTTCTTTGCTCAACTCATCTTTCGACTTTAACCTTTCTTTAACTTCATTCTTTGAGAAAACCCTCCTTCTCTGATAAGAAATGGCCTCCTCTTCAAGAAAACCTAGTTCTTCAAAGAACAAATGCTAAGTTGACGATGTTGATCCCCCTACGGTGAGTACCATCGTCCAAAAGAACCTAATTACCACCAAAGATTTTAAGGAGAAGTTTCCTTTTGCTAACTCTCGTACATGGGCCGTTGGTAGATAGATACCCTTCTTCCATCTGTCCTTCCACTATTCCTGCTATGAAGGAAGATTGTCGTTGCCATGATTTAGACATTATCGCTCCTGAGCTGGCGTAGCGGGTAGCCCTACCTAGGGAGGGTTTTACATATTTTTACACGTATCCCTTTACTTTGGGAGTATTTTCTCTGAGTGGAGAGCTTGACTCCGTCATTGCGGAGTTCTGTCTCCGCTATTAAGTGTGTTTGGCTGAAGTAAGTCCTTCCGTGGGGAGGAAGACTTCTTGTCTTCAGCGCTTGTGCCAAGAAACGAGAGAGGAGCTATCCTTAGCTCACGTGATGAACCTCTATTCCCCCAAAATCTTTCGTGGGGGAATAATAAACTTCAGCAAGCGAGACCACCATGCACTGCTATCCAACATGGTTGATGTTAATGGCCGTGTGTTTGGATATCAATGACGAAGGAGAAGCATTGACAATCATTTGTGATATGAAAAAGGTACTATCTTCTTTATTCTATTATTTTGCAGTCTTTTTGTTTTTAAACAAACAGTATCTTATCTGTTTATTATATTATTTTGCAGAGTTTCTATTGAGCAGTTCAAGAATATCTTCCTGAATGTGAGCATAGAATGTGTTCAAGACATATTCTAGCTAACTGGCAACAAAAATGGAAAGGTATTGAGAGAAGAAATGAATTTTGGAGCTGTGCAAGGTCAACTTAAGAAGCTAAACTTAAAGCAAACTTGGAAAAGCTAAGTAAGCTAGGTCACAAGATATGTGAAGACTTGGTAAACTACAATCTTGAGAAATGGAGCAAAGTAATGTTCAGAGCTTCTTCCAAGTGTGATAGTGTGAATAATAATATGGCTAAAAGCTTCAATGCTTGGGTTTTGGGTCCTAGGCACAAGAAAATCATTAACATGCTTGAAGAAATTAGAATAAAGGTAATGAATAGGTTTACTAGAGTAAGGGCATTTTCAGATACTTGGAATGAAGGCACATCCCCAATGGCAATGATGGTATTGGTTACAAATGTGGAGAAGTCAATGAAGTGCAGAATACACTGGAATGGTGGTTTTGGGTATGAAGTTCAGGGGGCTACAGGGATTAAACACATTGTCAAGTTGACTGAGGGAGTGTATAGTTGCAGAGCTTGGCAACTAAAAGGGATACCTTGTTCATATGGTGTAGTAGCAATTTATCGCAAAAGACTTAATCAACTTCACTTCATTTCTGAGTGGTACAATAAGGAGACTTACCTAAAAGCTTATTCTTATTTCATACAGCCCGTACCATGCATGAAGATGTGGCCTGAGTCAACAAATGCAAAGGATGAACCACCTTCTATTAGAACAATGCCTGGAAGGCCCACAAAAAAAAAAAAGGAGGTTTGGGAGATAAAAAGCAGTGGAAAGCTTATAAAGAGAGGAATATCAACGAATTACTCAATTTGTAAGTCCACATCTCATAACAGAAGAAGTTGTCCATATAAACCTCAAAGCACTTCATAGTACATTATTTAGTTGTTACTTTACAATTGTGTAACGACCCAACCGGTCGTTTCATGAGTTACAGCCCTGCTTCCCCATTTCTACTTCTTTATGTATTGTTCAGCTGTATTTAATCATATCGTGTTGGTTGTTCTGTGTTCGGAGTGGTCTTGGAGTGAAATGAGACACTTAGTCTCTAATTTAGGAGCTTAAGTTGGAAAAGTCAACCGAATATTGACTTATGTATAGAAGGTCTTGGATGTGAATTTTGATGGTTCACATAGCTTCGTTAGGTGATTTTGGACTTAGGAGCGTGTTCGGAATGTAAATTGGAGGTCCGTGGTAGAATTAGGCTTGAATTGGCGAAATTGGAAATTTGGAGTTTTTCGGTCGGCAATGGAAATCTTGATATCGGGGGCGGAATGGAATTCCGGAAATTGGAGTAGGTCTCTTGTGTCATTTATGACGTGTGTGCAAAATTTCAGGTCATTCGGATGAGGTTTGATAGGTTTTTGCATCGTTTGCGAAATTCGGAAGTTTGGAAATCCTTAGGCTTGTATCCGAGGGTGATTTGGTGTTTTAATGTTATTTTGAGTGCTCGAAAGTTGGAATAAGTTTGAATGGTGTTATGTGACTTGTTTGTATGTTTGGTTGAGGTCCCGAGGGCAACGGGATGATTTCGGGAGGTTGACGGATCAAGAATGAGATTTGAGGAAGTGCTGAAGAATTCCTTCAACTGTCATAACCGCACCTGCGGCTTGGGGACCGCAGGTGCGAGGTCCGCAGAAGTGCTAGAGCAGCCGCCAAAGTGGTTAAGGCCAAGGAAGCCAGGATCCGCATATGCAATAGGACGAGCTCACCTGCGTGACCGCAGGTGCGAGTATTAGGCCGCAGATGCGGCTATGGCCGGATAAGTAAAAACTGCAGATGCGGTTGCTTTGACCGCAGAAGCGATCCTGCAGGCGCGGTAATGGACCGGAGATGCGAAAATCACTGGGCAGAAAGTATGAAAGGCCATCTTCGCCAATTTCTGCCATTTCTTCACCATTTTTGAATGAGTTGGAGCTTGGGAGCTGTGATTTCAAGAGGGAATCAAGTGTTTTCAGTGAGGTAAGCTACTTGGGCCTTGTATCTTGTGTTTATGATGATTATTCCATTGTTTAATCATGATAATAGTGGGAAAATTACGGAAGAATTTTGGAGATTAGGGCTTGAAATTGGAGAGTTTAAATTGGGGATTTGAGGGGCCATTTGAGGTCCGATTTTGATGATTTTGGTATATATAGACTCGTGAGAGGATAAGGATTCTAGTATTGTGATTTTTATCGGATTTCATGGGTCCGGGGGTCGTATTTTGCCAATTTTGGGAATTTTGATTTAATTTGATACTTTTCGTGTGGGCTTTGTTCCTTTAGCATGTATTGATGATATGATTCTGGTTTTGGATAGATTC